TATACTGAATGCTGTAGGCGGTTTCAGCACAACGTAAGTATTTGTGTTTCTAAACATAGAAAAAGCACAGTAAAAATAATGTTATTATATAACCTCATGGGGACACTGCTGTATATGCAGTCTGTCATTGATCAAGATGTCATTATATGGTGTATGACAACGTGTATCTTAAAGATAAGCTGTCATTCTACAATTCTGTATTTGCAAAGATAGCCATCAAACATGAAGACAATATAAAGACCTTTTTTCTTTTTTTTTCTTTTGAGATGGAGTCTCACTTTGTCACCCAGGCTGGAGCGCAGTGGTGCAATCCTGGCTCACTGCAACCTCTGCCTCCTGGGTTCAAGCAATTCTCCTGCATCAGCCTCGCTAGTAGCTGGGATTACAGGCACCCACCACCACATCCAGATAATTTTTTGTACTTTTTAGTAGAGATAGGGTTTCACCATGTTGGCCACACTTGTCTTGAATTCCTGACCTCGGGTAATCTGCCCGACTTGGCCTCCCAAAGTGCTGGGATTACAGGCATGAGCCACTGTGCCCAGCAGAGACATTTATAGGATATCAAGAACTGAGGGAGTTTCCAGTAGACGTACACTTAAAGAAACACCGAAGAGATTTCTTTAAGTAAATGGAAAATTATCCCAGTCAGAAACACAGAAATGCGAGAAGGAATAAAGGGCAACAGAGAGCATAAATATGTATTTAAATCTAAAGGAACAGTGGCCAGGCAAAACAGCAATAAAACAGTAAGATAAAGGAAATGAAGTCAATGAAATTAAAATATTGTATGTTTCTAGGACTGCCTATGAAGTGGTAAAAGTACTGATTGATTTTAGGTATTAAAAGAGCAAAGTCACATATTGTAATTTTCAGGGTACCTACTACAGAAAAAAATTAAAGAATATATAATTCAGAAGCTAAAAGAAAAAGGATCAAATATAAAATGTTTAATACAAAAAGAAGACAATAAAGGAGATAAAAGAACATAAAATAAGTAGGACAGATGAGAAACAAATAGTAAGATGGTAGATATAAACCCCAATTCATCAGTAACTACATTAAATACTACTGGAAATATTTCAATTAAAAGACAAAGATGATCAAGCTGGATTTAAAAAAAAATACTTGCTGCTTGCAAGAATTGTAATTACTTTGAAAAAGTGTTTGGCACCTGTAAAAGCTGTACATATCCACACTCTATGGCCCCAGCAATCCACTTCTAGAAATGTACTCACAAAAAGTATGCATAGAAAGTTTAAAGCAGCATTACAATAGCCACAAACTAGAAACTACCCAAATATTCATCAACAGAAGAATAAATAAGTTATTAAATAAGTCTTAAATAAAATGATTTCAAAAGTAACATTTATCAAAAGAAGCCAGACATCAAAGATGTATGATTCCATTACTATACATTTCAAAACCAGGCAAAACTAATCGATAGTGTTAGAAGTTAGGTTAGTGATGACCTTTGGAAGGATGGTGAGCAACAGGGGTTAATGTTCTGTTCTTCATTCCTCTGATTATTATATGGGTATGTTTACTTTGTGAAAAGTCACCAAAACATTAAAGAAAAAAGAAAAAAAATTCACCAACTTCTGTATTTATAACTTGTGCATTGCATGTATGTTTTATTTGAATAAAAAGTTTACTTTTTAAAAATTTATCGGGAAAGGTATTAGAATTGTCAGCAAAGTCAGTTCACTTGTATTTTAGTACATAAGAAAGTTGGCCAGGCATGGTGGCTTATGCCTGTAATCCCACCACTTTGGGAGGCCAAGGCGGGTGGATAACCTGAGGTCAGGGGTTCGATACCAGCCTGGCCAACATGGCGAAACCCCATCTCTACTCAAAATAAAAATTAGCCAGGTGTGGTGGCATGCACCTGTAATTCTAGCTACTCGGGAGGCTGAGGCAGGAGAATCACTTGAACCCTGGAGGCAGATGTTGCAATGAGCATGAGATTGTACCACTGCACTCCAGCCTGGGTGACAGAGTAAGACTCCATCTCAAAAAAAAAAAAAAAAAAAGAAAGAAAAAGAAAAAGAAACTTAATGTGCTTCAGGAAGGAAAGGTTGAACCCACAGGAAAGAAAAGTGTCTGAAGATGTTGAATAGATGATAAATTAAGTTATTTAAGGACAAGTAAGAGCATTCATTCATTCAGCTGAATAGTTTAAGTCTTTATTACAATCCAAGAGATATCTGAGCTGTTAGGAATCCAAAAATTAATAAGGCTCAGTCCCTATTTTCAGAGTGGTCACTGTCCAGGAGAGAAAGCAAATGATGATATATATGTAAAAGCTCCATATTTTAAACTTTCCTTGTACAAGTGAGGCACTGTGCTGTGCAGGTTTGCAGCATCTTACCTGATACAACAATCCACTGAGTTAGATGTTATCTCTTTTTTCCTAAGGAAACACAGGAATAATAGAAGTTGTCCAAGTTCTCACCAAAATGAAAATGGAAGTCTGACTTTAAAGCCATGTTCCTGCTGGTACTTTACACTTCCAGTGGATGTTGTACAGTGAAATTATATGCAAACGTCAAAATTAATTCTAGTGGGGATGTCTTGGAGAAGGTGGTATAGATTGCCTGAGCCTCAGAAGATGAGCAGACAGAGAATAATGTTTGATGGCCTAGAAGTGGATTTGAAGAAATAAAAATATTTTCTCTGAATAAAGGCCAGACTTTCAAAGAAGGTGGCAGAAATATATAGTGAACCTGAGATAGCTGAGGGCTATTTCTCAGGGAGAGTATCTACCTGCTCAACGTACAGACTTTGAACCAAGTGTCTTTTTTTCAGACAAACAAAGTTATCTGGCATCTCCAATTCCTGACTCTTTTCTGGACTTCTTTGCTTTGTAAATGTTGGTATCATGTAATTGTATAGCCAGATTGCTTTAATTTAATGTTTCATAATGAACATTTTTCCCAAAGGAAAGTGCTTGTTGCAAAACACCATATCTTTAAGCCAGCATAGTGGGAGAGTTCTAAATTCCTGCCAGAGTTAAACCCAAGGTAGTCATATGTGTAATTCAAGTGCTTATGAAACAGCTGGAAGGAAAAAGAAACTTGGATATAAAATAAATTATAGGTGGGCACAGTGGCCCTTGCCTGTAATCCCAGCACTTTGGGAGCCCAAGGTGGAAAGATTGCTGAGTTCAGGAGTTCAAGAGCAGCCTGGACAACATAGTGAGACTCTTATCTCTACAAAAAAATTAAAAAATTAACCGGGTGTCGTGGTATGTACCTGTAATCCCAGCTAATCAGGAGGCGGAGGCATGAATCCCTTGAGCCTGGGAGGCAGAGGTTTCAGTGAGCCAAGATCATGCCACTGCACTCCAGCCTGGGTGACAGAGTAAGACTCTGTTCTCAAAAAAAGTCTGATACAGTAAGTACAAATATAAGGGACACACTGCTTCCTTTTAAAGGCAAGACCGGTATGTTGAACATCCACTTCTGTTCAACGCTCATTATCAAGAAGTTATGAGACTTTGAAGCAATCTAGCTTGGTGGCCATGTGCTCTGTGCTATATAACAAGCTGAGGTCAGGCCAGGCGTGGTGGCTCATGCTTGTAAGCCCAGCACTTTGAGAGGCTGAGGTGGGTGGATCATGAGGTCAGGAGTTCAAGACCAGCCTGGTCAACACAGTGAAACCCCGTCTCTACTAAAAATACAAAAATTAACTGGGCGTGGTGGCAGGCGCCTGTAATCCCAGCTACTTGGGAGGCTGAGGCAGGAGAATCGCTTGAACTGGGAGGTGGAGGTTGCAGTGAGCCCAGATCTCGCCACTGCACTCTAGCCAGACTCCATCTCAAAAAAAATTTAAAAAAAGAAGCAGCTGAGGTCAGTACCGGGGACAATATTCTGAGCTTAGTAAAACTGACAGTGTGAATCAACTTAGATTAATGTAGCTAATTGGTAAATTCTGATCTTTGTGGTAGGGCTTGCTTCTACTTGTTTATATTAAAAATGTAATGCACAACTTAGACTGGGCATGGTGGCTCATGCCTGTTATTCTAGCATTTTAGGAGGCCAAGGCAGGTGGATCGCTTGTGCTTAGGAGTTTGAGACCAGCCTGAGCAACATGGCAAAATCCCGTCTCTGCAAAAAAATACAAAAATTAGCTGGGCATGGTGGCACATACCTGTAGCTGGGACTACAGGTATGTGCCACCATGGAGTAAACACTTGCAACCAACCCCATGATGACCTCATCAGAACTTATGTTCATACTGAGATGAAATTTTATTCCTCATCTACCTTATACAACAAGTTGACCTCCAAATTCTTGGTTTTGCCCAGAGGGATCACAGCCCAGACTTTAAACCAGTTAAGCTGAGGTGGGAGGATCCCTTGAGCCCAGGAGGCAGAAGTTGCAGTGAGCTGAGATCATGCCACTGCACTCCAGCCTGGATGATGCACAAGACCCTGTCTCAATAAAAAGCAGAACTTAAACATAAAATGTCTATATAATGCTAACCAATTAAATTCTAGAGTCTACGCTTAAAAATGCACATCTTTATAATAAACAAAAAGAGACCAAGATAGAGGTGAAGGAGATGTCCCTTTACAGCAAGAGAGGAAGAGTTATAGTCCTATTTTATTGAACTACCTCAAAGAATCTACTTTTGAAACTGTTATATGCTGCAAAGATAACCTTCAAAGAAAGATCTCATTGGTTGTCTTCTAGATAGTTTGTTACCTTGGTAATAACACTAATTTACATGTCTGAATTCCTAAGCAACCTAAAAACTTTTATCTTTCCTCCGTAAAGTCGAAGAGGATCATTGGCACATTTCTCCTTTCCCATATATTTAATGGAGAGAAACAAATTCCTGTTACACTGGTTGATTTCTTATTTTAATAAAGATTTAACAAAGGAAATTGCCTTTATGTGTGTGTGAAACTTTAATATCTAATATCCTTATCTTCGGGAATTTATGTAATTCTTTTTCTCAAGTTATTTAACATAGTTTTTCTTTTTTCTACACAGACTGTCCTTCATCTGGTTGGATTCAGTTCCAAGACAGTTGTTACATTTTTCTCCAAGAAGCCATCAAAGTAGAAAGCATAGAGGATGTCAGAAATCAGTGTACGGACCATGGTAAAAGGCTTATTCTTTTTTTATTTTTTCACAAATTAGTAAATAACGTTCATTAATTTCTTTAAAAATTGATTCTGTCACATGTCACTTTTAACTGGGCCCTGAGATTTAATATACAACTTTTATTTGACAACATACAAGCTACAGGCAGTGGAATTGGGTATATATTTAATCCTGGAGTTGGAAGACAGGTGTTGGATAATACTGTCCAAAGCCAGGTCTATTTAACATGCATATCCTATGCCAGGCACTGTGCTTAAGCACAGCATATACTTTACTTGGCTTTAATTATCATAATAAACCTATCAAGTAGTATATTATCATTTCATTGAGAGATGAAAATTAACTTAGGTTATTTGTTCAAGGTTACCCAGGAAATAGTTGACAAAGCCAGGATTTTAACCCAGGTTTGTTGGATTTTAGGCCTAGAGTTCTTAATCACTTAGTTCTTCTGCCTGGGAAGCGCTGAAGTCAGATTACACGGTACATGAATTAAGACCGTAGTAAAGAAGAATACATTAAGGAATAATTATAAAAAGGCTGTTTGCTACAGCATACTCTGTGTTCTCTAGGAAATAGATTTATAACTTCACATTCTAAAATATTTTAAATAAAAATGTCTTTTTTTCTTGAGACAGGATCTTGCTCTGTCACCCAGGCTTGAGTGCAGTGGCGTGATCATAGCTCACTACAGCCTTGAACTCCTGGGTTCAAGTGATCCTTCCATGTCAGCCCCTTGAATAGATAGGACTACAGGCAAGCACTAGCTATTTTGTTTGTTTATAGAGACAGGGTTTCACTAGGTTACCCAGACTGGTCTGAAACTCCTGGCCTCAAGTGATCCTCTTGCCTTGGACTTCCAAGGTGCTGGGATTACAGGTGTGAGCCATTGCAACCAACCAAAAAAAAGTCATTTTTTAAAAACTGTGCTTGGATGCTATTTAAATATTTATGGGCTATTTTGGGCTATTGGGCCCAAAATGTATTCTTTTGTTGAGCTTCTAATTATTGTGACACTTGTTAGCTCAAACTAAAACTGTGATTGACTAGCATCTTTTTCAACCCAAATATCTAACCTGGTGATATAAGAGTCCTGATTCTTTAAAGGTGCTTTTTATTATTGTTAAATTCTTCAACAATATAACATTTGGAAGAATGTATCAAATTGTATTAGGGATACCTTAATCAAAATCCTATACATTTATTATAGGAGGAATAAATGTAAACACAAAAGTTATTTAATCTTATTAAAGTACTTAATACATATATATTGTTTCCCTTTGAAAAAGTCTTACCTGAACATAGACTCTGTGAAAACAGTATGAAATTTCCAACATGCCAATATGGTTTTATTTCAAGGCAGTTGAAATAAAATAATAGCAATTTTGTTGGTCTTAAAAGATTTTTAAAACAAGTTTTCTCCTGCGAGTATTTTTTCCCTCCTTCCTTCCTTCCTTCCATCCTTCCTTCCCTTTTCGTTCTCTTCTCTTCTCTCTTTCTCTTTTTCTTTCTTTTTCTTTTCCTCTTCGACGGAGTCTCAGTCTGTTGCTCAGGCTGGAGTGCAGTGGGACGATCTCAGCTCACTGCAACTTCTACTTCCTGGGTTCAAGCAATTCTCCTGCCTCAGCGTCCTGAGTAGCTGGGATTACAAGCATGTGCCACTAGGCGCAGCTAATGTTTTTTGTGTTGTTTTGGTAGAGACAGGGTTTTGTCATGTAGGCCAGGCTGGTCTCAAACTCCTGACCTCAGGTATCCACCCACCTTAGCCTCCCAAAGTGCTGGGATTACAAGTGTGAGCCACCATGCCTGGCCCCTCCAACTATTTTCTATCCCTTCAAAAAAAAAAAAAAACTCAATTTATATTAGGTATACTGAGACATAAACATAATTTCAATGACATAAATCATTAGAGGCTGAGAGCCAAGGCATGTTCCTATACACTTATTAGCTTGTATGAATCATAAGATCAGAGTTTATTGTCCAGCTCTAATATATATATATAAAGTTAATTATTTTTATATAGCTAGTGATATTCACCGATTCTGGAATATGCTGACTTTTTTCTCTTTAAAATAATTTCAGGAGCAGATATGATAAGCATACATAATGAAGAAGAAAATGCTTTTATATTGGATACTTTGAAAAAGCAATGGAAAAGCTCAGATGATATCCTACTGGGCATGTTTTATGACACAGATGGTAAGCGATATCTACCTCATGGGACATGACTTTGTTCTTCTTTTTTTAATGTAGTAAAACTGATGGCTATTCAATTCTCTAGTTCAAGTTGATGATTCCTGTGGCCTCCAGGTGTTACATTTTCAGTGTGCACCTATGATCAAACCACAGCTTGTCCCTGTAAAGCTCAATGAGTTACACAGAGGAAAGCCACAGTTGATTCTTGTCTGGATTAAAATGTGGTTCTAAGGCTTGGTATTTTTGTAATATGGCATGATCGTAAAAGTTAGCATCAGCAACTAATAGGCTAAGGATAGACTAAATTATCATGGTTCTATTAAACAAATGTATTTATCATCACTACAGACAAATATAAAGTACATATGTAAATATTTTCAAATGAAGTGAAATTACTAAGGTTACTACTAATATTTTAACTATTTTTCTTGACCTTTTTCCCATGAGAATATTATACATATTTTTTTTTCAAAAATTGGATTATCTTCAGAACCCTCTTAAATCAATAGCTTTTGATAATTTGGCTATACACAGGATATACTTCTCCTTCTAATTTTAATCCTACAACCAAATGTTTAGACCAGACATACCTTATTAACTTTCCACCTTTAATCCTATATCCTTTTTGGCTTTGAATACCTTTTAAAACTGTCATAATGTTGAAAATATTTCTTAATTGACAGATGCAAGTTTCAAGTGGTTTGATCATTCAAATATGACATTTGATAAGTGGACAGACCAAGATAATGGTGAAGATTTAGTTGATACCTGTGCTTTTCTGAACATCAAGACAGGTGAATGGAAAAAAGGAAATTGTGAAGTTTCTTCTGTGGAAGGAACACTATGCAAAACAGCTAGTAAGTATGACCGAAAGTGTTTTTCCATTCTAGGAGAAGCAGGGAAAGTAGGGCCAGTTTTAGAATAATTTTATTTGAGATAAGTGTGCCTCATTAAATAGAATAAGGCTGGGTATGGTGGCTCGCACCCGCAATCCCAGCACTGTGGTAGACTGAGGCGCTGAATTGCTTGAGCGCAGGAGTTCAAGACTAGCTTGAGCGAAAACTCATCTCTACAAAAAAATACAAAAACTAGCAGGGTGTGGTGGCGTGCACCTGTAGTCCCAAATATGTGTGAGGCTGAGGTGGGAGGATCAGTTGAGCCTGGGAGGTTGAGGCTGCAGCAAGCAGTGACTGAGTCATTGTACTCCAACCTGGGCAACAGAGCAACGCTCTCTCAAAAAAAAAAAAAAAAAAAAAAATAGGGAATAAGACTTCAGAATGTTTTAATAGGATGGTTTACTCTCAAGTCTCTTGGAACTCAAATTGTAATTCTCTTACATTTAGGAGGTAAGGCCAGATCACATGAAATAGGCATACTTTTAGTTTATCTGCTTAGTGTTTGCAAGAGATCAAAAATTTCTTGTTCAAAGGAATTATTATAATCTCTTTACATGTGAATTGAGTGAGCAGAAGTGGTGAAGAATAATCATGTATAATTCCAGAATCCTCATGTTACTTTACAAAGAATTAGATTCTCCATAAGAACTAACATCCTTTGTTTAGGCAAACAAAAACTACATCATAGTTTATAATTCATTTGGAGTTAAAATATTTTCTTCTGACCCATCAGAAGGTTTTTTAATGAACAGAATTATCCTGGCCCACAACAGTATTTTGATGTTATTTGTTAAAACACTACACAAAGTTTGTTGTTCTAAGTTTTAAAAAGTAAATGTTTTCTCATTAAAGAAACCTAAATTTTCAAAATGGGGGCTGGGTACAGTGGCTCATGCTTGTAATCCCAGCACACTGTGAGGCTGAGGCAGCCTGGTCAACATAGCAAGACCACCATCTCTCATCTTCACACTTGAGAAATCAGTGTGAGCCTAGCATTGTGATAAGAGTTTCTGTGAACATATTAAGCGAAATAATAAGTTGAGGTAATGGGTTAATTAGTACAGGAAAGGTAAAAGCAACATTTTTGGGGTATGGACCCGATAGCTTATTTAGCTGACCTTACTTTAGGATGTGGTGTAATAGGTAGCACAGAGAATTTTGGATTCTCTGATAGGTTCAACTCCTATAGTTGTAGAAATAAGAGGATTTTAACCTCTATTATTTATCAGAGTAATTCTTTTGTCAGACATATTTCCTATGTTTGGGGTGGGATGCTGGAAATTAGAACAGGCATTGAGATATTTCATATGCAGAATGCTAGTGTAAGTGGTAGGAAGTTTTTTCATAGAAGATATGTGAGCTGGTGATAGTGGAATTGAGGATATGCTGTTTGAATTCATAAAAACAGGGTGGTTAAGGCCAGGTGTGGTGGCTCATGCCTGTAATTTAGCACTTTGGGAGGCCAAGGTGGGCAGATCACATGAGGTTGGGAGTTTGAGACAAGCCTAACCAACATGGAGAAACCCCATCACTACTAAAAATACAAAATTAGCTGGGCATGGTGGTGCATGCCTGCAATCCCAGCTGCTTGGGAGGCTGAGGTGGGAGAATTGCTTGAACCCAGGAGGCAGAGGTTGCGGTGAGTTGAGATCACACCATTGCACTCCAGCAACAACAGTGAAACTCTGTCTCAAAACAAAAACAAAAACAAAAACAAAAAACAAAAAACAAGTGTGGTTACAAGGAAGGTCTGGGAAATGAAATTGGTATACAGTTCTGGCAAACATATAGTGTGTAGTGCTCCTAGGAAAATGGTAGTAGTTAGGGCATTTATTACGATAATATTCATGTATTCTGCTATCAAGAAGAAGGCAGATGAACCTGTGATATAGTCAATGTTGAAATCTGAGACTAACTCTGACTCCTTCTGTTAGATCAAAAGAGGCTCGGTTAGTTTCTCCTAGGGTGGAGATAAATCATATTATGGCTAGGGGCCATGATGGCAGGAGCAATCAGAGGAATTCCTGCACTGTGATGAGTGCATGCAAGTTAAATGAGCCACTTACCGGTAGAACTGATAGCAGGATAATGGCTAGGATGACCTCATATGAAATTGTTTGGGCTACAGCTTATAATGTGCCGATTAGTGCATAATTTGAATTGGTTGCTCATCCTGATCACAGAATAGAGTAGATGGCTAGGCTTGATGTGGCTAGTATCAATAGGAGGCCCATATTAAAATTAATTAGAGGATCTGGTATAGGGAGGGGAGTTCATAAGAGGAAAGTGATAGAAATGGTGAGGGTTGGACTAATAATAAAAAGGGTAATAGTAGATACTGAAGGTTTAGGGTTCTTTGGTGAAAAGTTTTATTGCATTAATGAATGGTTGGAGCAGTCCTTAGGGACCTATAATGTTAGGTCCTTTGCATAGTTGTATATGGCCTAAGATTTTTAATTCTATGAGTATAAGGAATGCTATAGCAATTAGAGTGAGAATAATAACTAGAAGAAAGTTAATTTTAGGCATATTGTTAAAAAGAGCAGTTGAACCTCTGATTATAAAGTTTTAAGTTTTATGCAGTTGCCAGGGTCTGCCATCTTAAAACCTGTTCTTGGGTAGGGTGTGTGATGATTTGTTAGACTGAGATAGCATCATCTATGGGGCGAGGATGCTTTATGAAATGGGCCCTATTTCTCTTGTCCTTTCATACTGGGAGAAATGTTAAATAGATAGAAACCGACCTGTACTACTCCTGTCTGAACTCAGAGCATGTAGGACTTTAATCATTTAACAAACAAACCCTTAATAGCAACTACACCATTAGGATGTCCTGATCCAACACTGAGGTCATAAACCCTATTGTTGATATGGACTCTTAGAATAGGATTGTTCTGTTATCCCTAGGGTAACTTATTCTGTTGACCAAATTATTGGGTCAAAGTGTGTTAACTCACTTAGATTAGTGCAGTCTTAGTTTAGGTGGTTTGGAGGTTGAATTATGCTCTGAGGTCACCCCAACCAAAATTTTTAATGCAGGGACCGTAGGCTAGGGTTATAGGCTTTTTTGAGTTTTAATTTTTATTCATGAATTAGAGCTCCATAGGGTCTTCTCATTTTACTTGTTCATATCTGTCTCTTCAGGGATAGGTCAGTTTCACTGATTAAGAGACACCGGAACCCTCATGTGGCCATTCATACAAGTCCCTATTTAGGGAACAAGTGATGATGCTACCTTTGTACGTCAGGATACCGCTGTTGAACATTTGTCACTGGGCAGGCACTGCCTCTAATACTGGTAATGTAAAGGTAGTGTTTTTACTAAACAGACAGGGTAAAACTTGCCAAATTCCTTGTACTTTTTGTGATATTTCTTTAGAGCATACCTGTGTTGGATTAACTGTATAAATAATAGGATGCTTATTATATCACTTACTAATATTAGGCTGTTACCTGTGTTGAGATTCACTCAAAGTGGCTGGCAAAATATTAAGGGAAATGTTAGGGAAGTTTTAAGATTATAGTCTCAAACCTTTTAGAAGGCCAAAAGGTTTTAATGAGACCAGCTGAAGGCAGCCAATTCTTATCTTAGAGCATTAGATCATAGGGTACAGATTAGGAATAATAGAAACTTCCCCAGTTAAGTCTGTTTACCCTACATCCCTTTGTCTCTACTCTGTTTACTCATGTAAACTTTGTGCTGGATGGTCCTCTTTAGGGGGAGGTCAAAGAGGAATTACCCATTAATGGTGTTTACTCTGGGCCCTTGAAACCAAAACCTTGTATCATTCGTAAAACCACTCTTAACCATGTTAACTATCCACAAGTGTGTTGACTTAGAATCTCTGTTATTAAATCTATACTGAATAAATGTGAGCAGGAACAGGGAGTAGTGGTTAGTTGCAATCACCCTCTAAAAGTAGCTGACAACCATCCCTAGCCCACTCAAATTGCTGTACTGGATGTGTGAGTGTATTTCATTCATCTGTCAATTAGTCAGGGTCTACAGGACAGACCTCTGCAGATGGTGATCAGTGTCTCAGGTGGTGACCCTGACGTGATCAATGCCTGGTGACGTGATCACAGCTGGTGCCCGGGTGTGAGGAACGCCAGTGTGTTCAACATCTCAACTGTCAGTGGATGATTCCAGTCTGATGTAAGCTTATGCAGTGGAGAATATCTTCATGTTGCTTATATTAACATTATTGCTTCTAGTAAGTAATAGATTAATCTAATGTGATGTCAGTAGTTCAGTAGGGTGATGAGAATTTAAAATAGGTGTTGAGTCTGAATGCTTTCTTAATTGGTGGTTGCTTTTGGGCCAACTATGGTGATATTTTTTACCCTCTGTAGGAAGGTTGTTTCCTAGGGTCTAAAGAGCTGTCCCTCTTTAGAACAGTTAAACTTACAGGGAGATTAAGTAATTCTGTGGGTAAGTTTAAAGTTGAACTAAGATTCTATCTTGGACAACCAGCTGTCACCAGGCTTGGTAGGCTTGTCACCACTACTCATGAATTTTCCCACTATTTGCCACATAGGTGGGTGTCTTTCAGCTCTTCTTGAGTAGCTTGTCTGGTTTTAGGGTACTTGGCTCTGGTTCTCTGTAAAGTTAATTTCTAGTTAATGCATTATGCAGAAGGTAAGGGTTTGTCTTTACTTTTTAATGGTTTTCTTTCATCCTTCCCTTATGGTACTGTCTGTTGAGCCAGGGTGAAAATTTCTATCGCCTATACTTTTGTCTAAGGTGAATGGTTTGATTAAGATGGTTTAATAAAATTTTTAGTGAGGTTTGGGACTAGAGTTGGCTCAAAGTCATCAGGTCAAAGTGGATGCTTTGGGTTAAGCTACACTTTGGTTTGTCCAGGTGCACTTTCCAGTACACTTAACATGTTACGACTTTTCTCCTCTATATGTGCATAGAGAGTTTTTAGTAATAGTAATTTCTAGGACAGTATTTGAGGAGGGTGATGGGTGATGTGTGTGTGTGCTTCATGGCCTTATTCAGCCAAGCATTCTGCTGTTGGTTTATTGCTAAATCCTCCTTGAGCCTTTAGATTTCATAAAGGTTGTCATGAGATTATCTGGGTAAAGAAAATGTAGCCCATTTCCTGCCACCTCATAAGCTACACCTTGACCTAATGTTTTTATGTATATACTTGTGTTTATAGTCTTTTTGGGGTTTGCAGAAGATGACGGTATAGAGGCTGAAGGCAAGAGGTGGTGAGGTATATTGGGGTTTATCAGTTATATAACAGACTCCTCTAGAGGGATATGAAGCACTGCCAAGTCCTTTTGAGTTTTAAGCTGTTGCTTGTAGTATTCTGGCAAATGGTTTTGTTAATTTAACTATTAGAGTTTAGGGCTAAGCATAGTGGGGTATTTAATCCCAGTTTGGGCCTTAGCTATTGTGTCTTCAGGGTATTAAAGCCACTTTCATAGTATATTTTATTTCAGCTGGAGTTTTTTCACAACTTAGATGGAGCTTAGCTTTATTGACCGCAGATCTTAAACACTCTTTACACCGAGTTTCATTAGCTTGGGTTAATCATATGGCCGAGGGTGACTGGCACAAAATTGACCAACCCTATGTATCAGTACAGCTTAGTTAAGCTTTCATTTATTACTAAAGATTTATCACTGCTGTTTCCCATGGGGGTGTGGTAGAGCAAAGTGTTTTGAGCTGCATTTGTGTGTGCTTGATACCTACTCCTTTTGACTGGGTTGATCTTGAGCAGGCCCCCAAACTACGGCCAGCCCATGGGCCGCATGCGGCCCCCTGAGGCCATTTATCTGGCCCCCAACCACCGCTGCACTTCAGGAAGGGGCACCTCTTTCATTGGTGGTCAGTGAGAGGAGCACAGAAAGTGGCAGCCCTCCAATGGTCTGAGGGACAGTGAACTGGCCCCCTGTGTAAAAAGTTTTGGGATGCCTTATCTAGAGGGTATTTTCACTGGGGTGGGGATGCTTGCATGTGTAATCTTATTAAGAGTTAATAGAAAGGCCAGGACCAAACCTATTTTTTATGGGGTTGTGCAGACCCATCTAGACATTTTCAGTGTCTTACTTTGCATAATTAAGCTACATTAACTGCATAAATACTTAAGCATAAAATTAAAATATGAGAAGGAAAGAAGTAAGTATCATGGTCTTTAAAGTTGAATTGGCAGAGGTTTGCCTGAGAGGATTATTTATAAGTAGAATATAATTGATTTAGGATGTGATACATGAGGTAGCACTTTCAGAGGTGTATGCTCAAGGTATTATGTTAGTATTGGGGTGGAAGTTTAGTTATTGTATTTATTATATAAATGGAGGCTTAATTTAGCAGGAGGGTCTTAAGATTTTTAGGAAAATTACATCAATTTTGAGGGGTAGCTGTTGGGGTATTTTAAAATATGATTTCTGGGCTCTGACTGGGTTGCATTTTAGTCTCTTGTTTTTGGGGTTTGAGAAGGATACATTTACCTAGGTTGGTGGTAAAGTCAGAGATGGGGGGAGGGAGGGTTGTGGATTTAATTGGAAATTGTTTTTGAAAGTGAGTGTATGTGTGTGAGCGTTTCTCTACAAAAAGTTTTCTTTAAAAAAAAAGTTTCAAAATATAAATTTGGGGTGTTTGAAACATGATACAAGCAACCATTTCCCCATTTTGCATCTTCAGTATTTTCCCTTCTACTTCCACTGTAAACCATACCTCCATATCCTGCTCTATTTCCTTACTTTACATGTGGAATTATGTACATTTTTCTTTCTTTTTTTGAAACAGATAGCGCTGTCACTGAGGCTGGAGTGCAGTGGCACGTTTGCGGCTCACTGCAACCTCTCCCTCCCGGGTTCAAGTGATTCTCCTGCCTCAGCCTCCTGAGTAGCAGAGACTACGGGCACATGCCACCATGCCCAGCTCGTTTTGTATTTTTAGTAGAGACGGGGTTTCACCATGTTAGCCAGGATGGTCTTGATCTCCTGACCCTGTGATCTGCTCACTTCAGCCTCCCAAAGTGCTGGGCTTACAGGCATGAGCCACCATGCTGGCCTATGTACATTTACTTGCTACAGCAGGATCCTTGACTACTATTAGTTTTACAGTGATTATCAAAGTATTCATCATAGTTTATTGGTAGTAGTATTCAACTTCAAATTTTTTTTTAAATTGGTTCTTTTCAGGTACTGCACCTCAGGGTGCCATTACATAAGCAAAGTTTTTTTTTTTATTAAACTGTATCTTCAAAACATCAGAAATGGTGAGTACATTCATACTAAAGTAGTTAGGGTCACAGTTGTCTACTTTTATGACATTTGTTTTCTATACTCTCCAACCAGAATCCTCTTGCTTCCTTTACCTCATTATTGTCTTTTCCTCAGGATCCTGTATTCTTTTCCACCAGACAAGCTAATGCATTTTGTTAGGCCTCTACATCTTTCTTTAAAAACTAAGTTCAAAACAGACAACAGAGACAATTAATGAGGCAAAGAAATAAGGATTTTAAGCTACGAATATATTGATACTAAGCTAGTAATAAAATTTATTTTAAATGATTGTGAATGTGTTTAAAGTCAATCCTATAATAAAGCGTAATTAAATTCTAATTTTTATTTTCTTTTGTCTTTTAGTCCCATACAAAAGGAAATATTTATCAGGTAAGTAATGACTTGGTCTTTAAATTTTTCCCACAATTAAAAATGTATCAAGCTGGGCGCGGTGGCTCACGCCTGTAATCCCAGCACTTTGGGAGGCCAAGGCGGGTGGATCACGAGGTCAAGAGATTGAGACCATCCTGGTCAACATGGTGAAACCCTGTCTCTACTAAAAATACAAAAAATTAGCTGGGCATGGTGGCGCGTGCCTGTAATCCCAGCTACTCAGGAGGCTGAGGCAGGAGAATTGCCTGAACCCAGGAGGCGGAGGTTGCGGTGAGCCGAGATCGCACCATTGCACTCCAGCCTGGGTAACAAGAGCGAAACTCTGTCTCAAAAAAAAAAAAAAAGTATCAAAATTCTGGTATATTAAAATACTATTACAGATCCCTATATTAAAAATTACATAATATAAAGTAGAACAATTTTTATAATAATATAGAAGGGTCTCTTAGCTTAGTAATAAGACTCAATGTTTTATTCTACAATATGTAACTTTGTCTGGCTTCTTTTACTCAGGCTTTTTTTTTTTAGATTCATCTGTGTTGTGCACATTCACTGAATTTTTTTCCTAGGCTTCATAGTATTTTAGAAATATATCACATATTGTCCATTCTCTTGTTTATGGATATTTGGATCACTTCTGGTTTCAAACTAATTTGAATAGAGCTGCCTATGAACATTCTCATGCATCTTATTTTGGACCTATGTTATTTTCTTTTGAGTATATTCTAAAAAGTAGACAGCTGGGTCATAGGGCAAGTATATATTTAGATTTATTAGAAACCACCAAATAATTTTTCAAAATGGTTAAATCATGTTACATTCCTACTGGAAGCATGTGCAAGTTTCATTTGCTCCATGTTCATCCATTGATGGTACTGTCAATTTCTTTAATTTTAGCCATTCAGATCAGGTATGTAGTGATCTCTTGAGGTTTTAATTTTCATTTACCTGACAATGATGTCGAGCAATTTTCACATGATTATTCATTTGTATATCTTTTGTGAAAAGGCTTTTACCCATTTGTGGAGTTCAGTGGTGTGAGCTTGACACACTGTAGCCACGACCACCTGGGCTCAAGCAATTCTTCCACCTCAGTCTCCCAAGTAGCTGGGACTACAGGTGTGGGCTGCCACTGCCAGCTAATTTTTTTTTTTTATACAGATGGGGTTTCCCCACGTTACCCAGGCTAGTCTCAAACTCCTGAGCTCAAGTGATCCACCCACCTTAGCCTCCCAAAGTGCTGAGATTACAGGTGTGAGCTGCTGTGCCCAGCCACCCATATTATTTTTATCAAGTTGCCTTTATTATTGGTAGGATTTTTTAAAGCAAATTTTGTTTCTTTAAATTTGGATATCAGCTGGGCATGGTGGCTAACACCTGTCATCCCAGCAGTTTGGGAGGCCAAGGTGGGTGGATCACCTGAGGTCAGGAGCTCAAGACCAGCCTGGCCAACATGGTGAAACCCCATCTCTACTAAATAATACAAAAATTAGCTGGGCGTGGTGATGGGTGCCTGTAATCCCAGCTAATTGGGAGGCTGAGGCAGAGAGAATTGCTTGCACCCTGGGAGGTGGAGGTGGTTGCAGTGAGCCGAGGTCGTGCTACTGCACTCCAGTTTCAGTGACAGAGTGAGACTTCATCTCAAAAAAAAAAAAAATTGGATGTGAGTCTTTTGTCAGTTTTCCTTTTGTGGGTTACTACAATAGGACTATGACAGAAGAGAAGGAAAGAAGTGCTGAGCTTGTGTGTATACAGGAATTACATCCTCATTGTTCAACAGGAGAAAGATAATATATAACAAGCGTTAGTGTTATATGCAGCAATTAGAACTCTTGTGGTAGGAATGTAAAATGCTGCAGCCTGTGAAAAACAGTGTGGTGGCTCTTCAAAAAAAATTAAAATAACTACCATTATGATCCAGCAATTCCACTTCTGAGTATGGATCCCAAATAACTGAAAGCAGGGACTCTGATATCTGTACACGTATCTCTTTGATATTTGTGTATCTATGTTCATAGCAGCATCATTTGCCACAGCCAAAAGCTGGAAGCAATCCAAGTGTCCACTAATGGACGAAGGGATAAACAAAAAGTATTCTGTACATACGATGAATATCATTTAGCCTTAAAATTCTGACACATGCTATAACATGCATAACCCTGAAGGACATTAGGCTAAACAAAATACGCCAATCACAGGCCAGGTGCAGTGGCTGATGCCTGTAATTCCCCACATTTTGGGAGGCTGAGGTGGATGGATCACCTGAGGTAAGGAGTTCAAGACTAGCCTGGCTAGCATGGTGAAATCCCATCTCTACTTAAAAAAATAAAAATAAAAATTAGTTGGGTGTGGTGGCAGGTGCCTGTAGTCTCAGCTACTTGGGAGGCTGAGGCAGAATTGCTTGAATTCAGGAGGTGGAGGATGCAGTGAGCCAAGATTGCTCCACTGCACTGCAGTCTGGGTGAGACAGAGCGAGCCTCCAAAGAAAAAAAAGAAAAGAGAAGAGAAAAAGAGAGTAGGGGAGGGGAGGGGGAGAGGGAGGGAGGGAGGGAAGGAAGGAAGAAAGAAAGGAAAGAAGGGAGGGAAGGAAGGGGAAGGAGGGAAGGAGAGAGAAAGAGAATGAAGAAAGAAAGAAAGGAGAAAGAGGAAATAAGCCAGTTACCAAAGGCCAAATTCTGTATAATTTTTACCTACAGTATGAGGTACCTAGAGTAGTCAACCTCACCGAGAAACTGTTTGCCAAGGGTTAGGGCAGGGAGAAATGGGAGTTTATTAGGTACTTTCCATTTTACAAAATGAGTTGTTCTTTGAATGGATGGTGGTCATGTAGCATGAATTGAATGTAATTAATGCTACTGCTTACCTAAGATGGTATTTGTTATGTGTATTTCTTTAAATTGCATTTTAAATAAAATCAAGTAGTGGATGCGTGTTATTTAGACATGAAGATAAATAGCTGAAGCAACTGGAGTAGTTAACTTTAAGGAATGGATGTTCAGGTGCGTAGTAGTGGAGCAGAAGCACAGTATTCTCATTATGTATCTTCTAGAACTATGACTTTAAAGCTATGTAAATGTATTACTTTGGAAAAAATTTTAAAAAGATACATGTAAGTTGAAACATTTAGAAAAAAACAGGTCCATGGATTCAAAACCACAAATAGTTGAAAGATCTGGCAACATATGGTCTTCAGACTACAGGAAAAGTAATCGCTGAATTCATTACCTGTATGCATGTACATATGTGTGTATATGTAAATCTGTATTACTTAAATGTGTGTATAATTTAGTAAGTAAACACTCTGTGTCAGGCTTTCCCCTAAAGACAAGACATTGAAGACAGAGCAATGAACAAAACAAAAGCTCTCAAGCATACATTCTAGTGAGAACGGTAAAAAAAAAAAAAATATGGTATGTGAGATGGTAACATATCCTATAGGGAAAAAAGGAAGATAAGGATGAATTCCAGTACAAGAAGGGAGCTATTGCCTTTTAGTAGGGTGGCCAGGGAAGGTCTCATTTGATAAGGCCTTGTTTTTGCAGAATGAAGACCTAAAGTCAAAGTAGAAGCCTATCATGTAGATAGGGATTAGGCTTAGTCTGACTTTAAGGAGTAATAGAGAATATGGAGTTGAAGCAGCAAGGAAACAAACCAATAGTTAAGTGTAGCTGCAATCTTGGCAAACAAGAGTTCTCCTTCATACCAAGTGTAAACTGGAAGACTCCTTTGGGAAGAATGCTTTCAACAGAATTAAGGTGTCCACAGTTGGATGCACCTAGTGTGGCAAGCAGACAGGAAAGGGGAAGTTAGTCCAAGCTGGGTTCAGCAAAGGTTACTGGAGAGGATGCACGAGTTAAATCTTCAAGAAGTAGACATCAGACAGGAGACAGAAGACAGTTTATCTGAGATGACAAATCAGGACCAAGGTAAAGGGTCCAATTTTTGCTGCCATTTATTATATGGAATTGGGCAAGTCATTTAAACCCTGTGCCTTGTAATTAAATGCACAGTTGACACTCATAACGTGAGGTTACAGCCCAACAAAATGTGTCACATCATTTTTGAGAAGTGGATATTGTACAGTTCGGGCCTCAGATGATTAGTGTTAAAACTAGGGCATGAAGGTAGCAGTTAGATAAATAGGAAACAAAAGAAAAATGTGTAGTCTTAAAAATAGAGAGGGAGTCTACAATTTCCAGATTGGATGACTGGGCAGTGGTTGTTTGCAAGAATTCAGGTTAGATTTGGAGTAAAGTGAGGCAACACACACATTTATCTATGGACTTACATAAAAGATTTGAATGGTTGAGATCAACCATGGAAAGCTTTGAGTGCACAAAGATGACTAGTTGTCTGAAAAATAGAAGAGAGCAATGTCAGGGAAGCCAAGTGAGGAGATATCTTCAAGGCTGGACAGCTAACAATCTAGTTGCCTCAGGTTCAACTAAAACATCCAACTGTTTATGCATTTAGTCATACAGAGATCATTAGTAACCTTTGCCACAGAAATTTCAGAAGAAATTTTGAGAAAATGGATTAAATGGGCTTAAAAAATGACAGAGAAGTGAAAGCTTGTTTCAGTGTTTGCTGTTTCAAGTAAGGAACATTGTTAGGCTAAAAAAAAAATTTCCTAAATTTTGTTTCTTTAAATTCATGGTAAATAGCTATTATATGCTTGGTCAGGCAATCAATGTTTCTTCCTTTCATTAATGACATAGATAATATATTTCCTAATGAAAAACTATCCTAACCTCCAGATAGAAACTATACATATTGTTTTAATAGACGCTCATCAGCTACCTTGACAACTGACTTTGTCATACATTTTAGTAGTATGCAGCTAGCTAACTAAAACCCATGGAGGCAACTTTGGCCAATGGTCAGTTGCAGAATTGAAAATACAAGCATATATACTTACTGTGTCCCACCGATCTTGGATGCTGTCCAGTTCTTAGGATACCAGGTCTTTTAATTTTTAAAGCTCTATGATTGAGTCTGTAAATAATTCTCAATTATCATATTTCAGACTTAAGTTGTTTTTCTATATTACTATCATGTAATCAATATTCAAAGTAGATGCTACTGATTATGAAGGTATTATTATACAGTCATTAGTAGACTCAGTGTGTTCACATTAGTAATGTTAAGGTTCTACACTGAAAATCAGCTATGTTAATTTTAACAAAACTAGGGGGCTGGGTACAGTGGCCCACATCTATAATCCCAGTACTTTGGGAGGCTTAGGGAGCAGATTGCTTGAGGCCAGCAGTTTCACACCAGTGTGGGCACATGGCCTAATTGTCTCTATTAAAAATACAATTATCTGGACATCGTGGCACATACCTGTAATCTCAGCTACCCAGGAGGCTGACGCACGAGAATCATTTGCACCCAGAAGGCAGAGGTTGCAGTAGCCAACTAATGGAAGAAACCCATTTAAAATCAGTTTACAGAATCTTGGCTTTTTTCATTTTCATGTCTTTAATAGTACCACCACCAAACCCACCCTCACACCTTACCAAATCTTTACTACCAAATTTTATTTCAGGATTAAAAAGATAATTCACTTGTGGCCATTTCCTCACTCCTCCCAAAAAATCCTGTCAATATTTGAAAAATATCAATGACTCTCCCTCACTTTAACAAATAATTTTGGCCAGATTTCTCTCACTAATCTTACATTCTTTCAGCTCTCATTTTAATAAGCACAGAATGACTATTATGAATATATTTAACAATCAAAAATCTGCCCAAAAAAGTAATTCTGAAAAATTTTCACATTCTTTAGTCTATTACTATATATAATACAAGTACCTGTCCAAAAGTATTTTCGTCCTCCTGACTTCTAAACCAAGTGATTTTCCTCAAATTAATTTATTAGACTGGATTCTTATAGAAAGATAAAAAGCGTTTAAATGGGCAAGAACTGCAAAGCTGTGCATACTTACAGAACTTTAGGGAAACCAAAGAATCAAAGAATGCAAAGACACACAAAAGCAAGGTACTTACTGCAACTCTTGGTGTTTTTTCAGTTAAACAAATCTTAAATTCCCAAAGCCAGGTGAACCATTAAACCTCAATAATATAACACAATATCTAAATACTACAATTCCTAAAGGGAAGAGTAAGTCTGAATTTGTATTCTTAGAAAGTAAAGCCAAGAAGACAAACTGGAGAATGGCGATTCCCATTTTAGGATCTTAAGTAGAGTGGAGAAGCACATAACTTCCTAGAAATTTTGAGTAATGTTCTTCAGGCTAAGAAATATAAATCTTAATAGTAATAAATGTGAAATTTTTCTTTTCTCACCAGTGTGGGAAATTCTCAACACAGAGAAATGTTTACACTAAACTACAGTTGTTCTCCCCAGAATATACTTGCAACTTGTGTATCTGCCTCTCCCATATATTGTCTTTTCCTTTTCAGATAACCACATTTTAATATCAGCATTGGTGATTGCCAGCACAGTAATTTTGACAGTTTTGGGAGCAATCATTTGGTTCCTGTACAAAAGACATTCTGATTCTCACTTCACCACAGTTTTTTCAACTGCACCCGAATCACCTTATAACGAAGATTGTGTTTTGGTAGTTGCAGAAGAAAATGAATATCCTGTTCAATTTGACTAAGCTTTTGGTAATCTTGCACTGATATCAACTAAATGCCTTGGCCGAGATTCTTGGGAAGGATTTTAATATAAAACTTGACATTGGATCTTAGAACTTTAATGGTATTCCTTATTTTTAGTAACATTATTTTATTTTTATGTATTCATCTGTTGTGACAAAATTTTTAGGTCCATTATAAAATCAGGTTTTAGAAATGATCATAGATCTAATGTAGTGATTTTAACCACCTCGTCAAATGCAGAATGTCACTTGAATGAAGGAAAGCTTTAAGTCCAAGAAGCAGATAAAAATAAAAGCCCAGCCTATTTGTCTCGCCTGATCTATCTTCCCTTCTATTTACTTACATGTTTATTAGTAAATATAAAATGGGAAATAAGGGATTTTAAGTACATCCCATAATCTTTGATAATGGTTACTTTGGCAGGTAATTCCTCTAGAATGTGTATCTCTTTTTATGATTTAGATGAAGAAAATTTTACAACTTTTTCAACACCCCTTAACACATAATTTTAGTTTCATTACTTTTACACACACCATTTTATCACGATTCAAGTTTTAATGGAAGTTTATAAATTTTTTCAAACAAAATATGATGGCTGTGTCCAGGAAGGCATGGAGAAAGCTGGCAATTAGGTTAACACTTACATATCACAGTGCCACTTTAAGGATTTCTCTCCTGCCACCATACCTTTTGTACCTCCCCTATACAAGATATATCTCATTCTCCTCAAGCATTTATAAATTTTTCTTTCAAAGACATGAAAACTAAGCAAAAACCAAAGAAAAACACTAAGTACAACTGTGGTGGTGATGATCAAAGTTTTTAGTACATTTATTGTACATTTTAAGAAAAAGGTGAAAAATCATCATTTGGGGAGTAAAAGAAAAAGCTGAGTGATTTTCCTCACCATCAATAACTCAAAAACAGGCAAGAATGTGTAGATTTCACGTAAATTAGTTATGTATCACTTATCAATGGGGACAGATTTTAAAAAATGCATAGTTAGGGAATCTCTGTGTGAACATCAGCGTGTACTTACATAAACCCAGATGGTATAGCCTATTTTGTTTCAAATGTGCACAGCATATTACTGTGCTGAATACTACAGGCAACTGTTAGTTAAGTGTTTGTGTATCTAAATAGAGAAAAGGTAAAAATATGGTCTACTATAGGAACACTGTTCTATATGTGTTCCATTGTTGACTGAAGTATACTGTTTATAAGTCTGAAGCTCAAAGAAAAGCAATCCCTCTCCTGAATCCACACTCCATCAATTATCTTATTTTCTTATGGGAGATACACTATCTCACTAGCTTGACTAATGGCAACAAAATCTCAGCTTGTGTAATCTTTTTATTGACCACATAAATTGAAAACACGCCTCATCACAATTAAAGACACTAACGAGACATGAGTAACTAAAGTGACAGAAAATTATCAACTGTGGCTACCTGGTAATTGAAAATGCAGGCATTATACTAACTTACACAATCATGCTCTGTAAGAGCTTTACATTTCTGAGATTTTGTGTAGTGATAAAGATGTCTATTTTATTATTGATAGGCTATTAATGTCAATAGTGAACATTACCCTGGAATTCCTGATTTTCCTACCCAAATTCTACCACTCCTTGAAGAACCACAGGCACAGTAAAAACATGGTGTATTATGGGAACTAAGAGTTCTAAAGGAGTTCTTAAAGGAGTGGTAGAATTTGGGCAGAAAGTGATTAAGTCCAACTTAAAACCAACAGTCTCAAACATTTAGAACTACAATGTCCGATGAGCTAATAGCCACATGAGGCTACTGAATATAGTTTAAAATCCAGTCTCCCAATAACATTAGCCACATTGTCAAGTGTCCAAATCACAGGTGGTTAGTAGGTACTATACCGGGCAACATAGATTACAGAACTTTTTGATTAAGGAATTTTTATTGGGCTGTGCTGCTCTTAAATCATACCTTCTACTCAACTCCCATACAACTTTCTTCTGCATGTTTTCGTACTTTCTACTTAACGGCAGCTCTTCCAAACTAACTGTTTTAAACTTTGATTTAATTTTCAATGTTTGGTTTTATTTTTCAATAGGGCAAGAGGCCTCTGGTAATGAAGTGCGTGTGCTCGCTCGCTCTCTCTATATATATATATGACGGATTCTCGCTCTGTCACCCAGGCTAGAGTGCAGTGGCTTGACCTCGGCTTAATGCAACCTCTGCCTTGTGGGTTTTCAAGCAATTCTCCTGCCTCAGCCTCCTGAGTAGCTGGGACCACAGCCCCCTGCCACCACACCCCGCTAACTTTTTGCATTTTTGGTAGAGATGGGGTTTCACCATGTTGGCTAGGCTGGTCTCAAACTCCTGACCCCAAGTGACCACCCATCTTGGCGTCCCAAAGTGCTGGGATTACATGCATAAGCCACCCTGCTTGGCCTACATTTTAATTTTCTTTATATACCTGAACATCTATAACAGGCCCCTTATATATTCATTAGTCAAGAAATAATTGGGTTACTTATGCAGGCTTGTTTACTACATTCAGAATGTAGAAACTGCTTTCTTCAACATCTTGGTTCTAGCTAGTAATAACAATATAATTCTTTGTTTGGCAGGTATTTAGAGTAACATTTTAAACTATATTTTGTTAGAAAAATGTATGGTCTCTTTAATTCTGAGTTTAAAACTGATAACCAATGAAACCTTTTTCTTTTATTCCTCTGTCATTTACATGATAATCTGAAGCTAATATGACAATAGTAAAATACTAAGTGGTACTGGAAAACTACAAGAATAATGCAAAGCTTAAGCCATTGTTATCACTGTCATTTACCATTTAATGACAAAACTATATAGAATAATCTTATATGCATACCAATCAATGTTTTGTACTAGTTAAAATTTTTAAATAAAGTTTTATGGGTTAAGCAGAAGACAACTAACATACTGAATTTTATTAAAATTATGTATGTTCAAATTCAAAGCATCCCTAAGGACAACTATCACACTGAATTTTATTGAAAGTATATATGCTCTGATTCAAAGCATCCCTAAAAACCCGGAGAATATATTAAAACTACCACCCTTAAATTTTATATTTTTGCTTTACAACAAACAATGCAAAGACAACTGGCAAGAGGTGACCGAATGTTTTAGAACATTTACATTATTATATGAGATTTGAAATTTTAATAAAATTCTTGGTTATGAAGTTTGAAGTCTTCTTTGAACACCAGTTTAAAAGGAAACATTTCAAACTGTAAATAAATCAGTGTGCACTTTATTTCGAGCCAATGTTTTACATAAAACCAACAAACTAAGTGTGGGCAAATTGTCATTCACTTTTGAGAAATTACATGGTTCCTATTTAGGTTTGAAAAAGTAGTTTGTTGCAATAATATCAGACCTTAAGGTGTTTTAAAGTGTATCTCAAGGATACTGACAGAAGAAAAAATACAGTGTTATGTAGGTATACACAACTTATGACCACAGTGTAGATCCATTCATGGTGAATAAGGTTCATCTGCCCTCCAAAGGTAGTGAAAAATACTAAGTCATCAAATAAATGCTCAGAATTACCAAGGAACAGTTAAAAACGACCAGGATCCAAACAGGTTATTTATATCATATTTATCTATAAAGAAGTGACAACACTAAAAAACACATTGAAAACCAGTGTTTTAAACTCTGAATGTGGGATTTAAAAATATTCCATTAACTTGAGATTGCAATATTTTTTTTTAAACCAAATAGTATTTGACTAGCAATTCTCATATAATTTACAGCTGTAATATTCCTAAAAGGAATATCTACATACTATAGCCTATCAAATATAATCTGCATTTTGCAAATCAATACAAAAATGCATCCATCATTTATGCATTTGATATTTATATACTTTTTTAAAAATTAGATTTTATTGCTAAGTGAATTTGGAATTCAAATTAAATTTGGAAACCTAATATAATGCTCTTTTCGGAACCTTCTCCCATTCTTTTTTTAGTTTTTGTTTTTAAACACTGGAAGCAGATGATTATCAAAAAGACAGTAACTTAAGGCATTTTAAAAGAAAAATAATTAGGTGCCATATGGATTTAATTTCAAACGCATATTTTGTCCCACTTTTCTCACTAGCAAGAGACTAAAACACAAACCTTTTTTTCATAAATATGACTATAGTAATCAGAACACAAAAAAGGGTTGATGGGCATTGCTTAGATACTTAAAACAAGGGTAATACTTTCCCACTCACCTAAAAGAAAAAAACCTTTTTGATTACCAGTTTATAAACATCAAATTTGCTGTGTTAAAAAAGTCCAGCAGAATTTTAATTCAGCAACACTTGAGAATGAATATATATATACAGGCATACATGTGTATGTATATATTCATTTTATATATAGTCAATGTATTTATTAGGCATTCCCCCACAAAATTAATTTATATTTAATTGCCAGTTTTAATAAACACTTGTGTTCACAGATCATCCATCTGTCTTATATGAAGTTAGGCAATATCGAATGTCCTGTTATGGTCTCCATCTTCTTCGGAATCATCCTCTGAAGCTGTTGAAAGAAAACAGGATAGTCAAGAATGATTTTAAGGGGGATAAAAATGGGAAGTGTAAATATGAAGCCAGAACAGCAATGACTTGTAAAAACAAAAATCCCAATTTAGTATATTGTTTGATCAAAATGATAAGTTATATGACAGGGTTAGGGTGGTTTGACTGTGGGTGATTCCCATCCGCAATGCCCCCGCCCCCCCATCTTTTTGTAATATTCTATCAATTTTTATAAAAATGAAAATGCTTAAAAATGTTCAAGAGCATCTTCTAAACATTTTTTCTGAGATAAATCTGTGTTCATAGTAGCCAATGATATATAAACACTAGGAAAAAAGTGAACTTAAGGCAAGTGCTCTCACACACCTGAGTAGAATCTGGCTTATTACCGCTGCATGTTTGATGCATCCGATGAGAATGAAAAGAAATGTACATAGAATAAGAGGTTATGGGTGTTCTTGCAATTTACATCAAAGCTATGTCTATACAATGCCAAGATAAAAGCTCATTTAGTAAGTCAGAAAAGCTTCATATAGACACAGCCTAAATTAAAGTAACTGGATTCAGTAATAAAACCTATTGTTGAGATTATTCCCCTGTCTCCACACTGTCAGAAACTTATCACCTTTGCAATATTTCTGACCTCAATTTATTCAAGAGTCACTAGTGGCTCAAGAGTTAAAAATAAAGCATCCTGGATGTCTTTAGGAAGGACATAGTAAGTATAAAACTATGAATTCTATGAACTGCTTTGCAAGTGAAAGAAAACACAAACTCATTAAAATAAACATCTAACCACCATCTTTCCCCTATTATCAAGGGCAGAAAGGTTTAATGCACTCTTTTCATATTTACATTGGACAAATTAAGAGCATCCAACAAATGGAATCAACCTAGAGCAAAGCACAGAAAAACTATGCAACACTAATATATTTAAATCCATTTAATAAATGACACAAGCATGTAACTAGCTCATGACTGATATAAACTCTATTTAAAGTTTTATGCTATATCACTGAGAAATTCCAAACTAAAAAATAATTACATATTAAGAAACTTCTTGTGTTTTTCCATTTAACTCCACTCCACAGGAGACGATAATTTAGTCAGAACCCATTTCAGAATGTATTAATACTCTGGTATTTAGGGGTTAACTTGTAGCACCCAGGTCTTTCATGCTTAATTGAGTTTGGACATATTTCACCTCCATCTTTTTCTTCCCACGTTAGGAGGGGACAATACTATGTTTAAGAAACTAAATTTTAAATGACAATGTTAGTTTTTTAAAATGGAGAAATCTGGGGAAAACATACACTGAAACAAATTACTATCATGACATTGAACAAAGTATATAGTTAAAAAACAGAACAAAACAAAGAGACCTTTGTATTAGGCCAACATAAGGGATATGAAACGAAGGTATAAAGGGAAAAAAAAATTTATACCAAAGGAGTTTGTACTGACTCCTTTATTTTCACATATCCTAATTAAAATTGTGAAAATGTTACCTGATTCCATCTCAAATCCTTTTAAAACTTGAAAGTAGTACACACTTAATGACAAAAATCTGTGTTTTAGATTATCTAAAATTAAAAGGTTCCTATTAGGACTAAATCCTTTTTAAACTTAACTTCAAAGGATGTTGAGCTTTCTCTAAAGGTAAAAATGGTATGCATACTATAGATAACACTCCAAATAGTTCAAAGATGAGTATAGAAAGCAATCAACTGAAGAATACATATTTTTAAAAGACACTTCGAGTAGTGTTTTGGAATGGGTAACGAAGGGTAAAAAAGTAAAATATGCAGGGGTTGAGTGGGGTAATCTTCAATTGCCAGGAACTGTTCCAGAGCCACCAATACCTGTGCCCCCATGGTATGAAGCACACTAGAAGTTCCAGGAGACTAAAAGGAGGGTAGGCTGTACAGATAGATGCCTGTCAAGATTTTAGAATTAAGTGCCTTCACTTAGGAGCCCAGGCAGAAGTCCTGACGCTGGAATGTGATCTTAAGAGACTGGAGCTATCGGCAGAGCTTGGCTACCTATTCAAGGTCCATGAGTACTTATAAACAGCCAAAAAAAAAAAAAAAAAAAATCCTCACCAAAATAAGCCTTTTATGGCTTCTGATAGGAATTCAGAATTAGGACTCCCAGTCCCGTATTTTCCTGGAATGAATAATTTTTTTATGATCTAACAAATCTGAGTAAACAGGCAAAATTTCTTACCAAAAACAAAATTTAAGAAATCCTAACAGATTAAGAAATATGGTTTGATTAGTAGTTAAGATTTATGCCTTCTTTTTAAATTATAAATCCTGAAATCAAGGTGATCAGCAAATTTCTCTTCGGGAAAAAAAAAAAAAAAGGAAATACTGGCAGTTAAAATTACATTCTTCTGTACTTTGAAATATGCTTTAAAAAAACTAATGTCGGTTGCCCAACCCATATTTCCCAAATCAATCATTTTGGTATTATTAAGCCTATAAATGAAGCTCTAATTGGCAGAAAAGAGTTATACTTAGGTTTTTCTCTGTGGATTTAATTTGCAAAAGTAAATTCAACAAGTCTGGGGAGGGGGGAAATTCCACCTACTTTCGAGATCTTCCATATGTGCCTGAAGAGTTCTTGCAAGGTTAATAAACTAGAAACAATGCAGAAAGAAATACAGTAGTTTAAATGTTGCAAATGGTTCTAAAGAGAGAGTCAGTATAGGAGATTCATTTCTACTTAATAAGTCAAACATCATAAAGCCTTTAAATAGGGGTCTTTCTCCCCCCAACATCAAAAATTACAAGCTTAATGGTATTAATTTTTAAATGTTTTATATAATCATTATAATCATGTAGAAACCAGTTTTTTTAAATTGGGAGCAGAAAAATAATTTTTTATATTGTTTTCTCAAAACACTTAAAAAAATTATGGAATGGAGGGAAAAAAGCCAAAAACCATCCCTTGTATTTGGACGCAAATAAATTCAACTTCAGTGGCCATTAAAAAAACAAACAAAAAAAACCTCCCAAGAATCCATATTTTCCTACCTAAATTTGATAAAGTATACATTTTATTCCAAAAAAAAGTATTCATTTAAGAAAAAAATCCTAATGACTTCCACTTTGGAGTATTATCCAACATTTTGTAATTTTCCACCTTAAAACTTGTAAATACGAACTTTTACAAACACATGAAATTCAAAAGTTCTTACAGGTTTTATATGGTTTATTCTTTCTGAAGAATTAAGGTACCTTTTTAGAAATCATTTTACAGTATTAAGGTTTTAGGGGCTCACAATTTCTAAAGTACTTAGAAGTCAAGAGATCTTTGCTCAAATTCTGAATGCTCTTGATAGACAATAATGTTCTTCAACGATAATTATCTGTTAACTGGCTCACTGGAATAATGTCCACATGATAATAAAATACAGAAAAGTATTTTACTAATTTAGAAGTAATATACACATTGAATTGCAGTTACGTGATAATTCTCGAAATAAAAACATTACATTAACTCTACTACATTTTTATCATCAAAGTTAACAGTAATATAACAAAGTTTGAAGGATATACTTATAAACATATTTCAAGATATGAAGTGTTCAGAATACTACAATAATGGCAGATATACAGAGACCCTAGCCCTTGCTACCCAAAATGGCCCAGACAAGCAGAGCATGAAGTTTCCTCCGGTACACTGAGGCAAAAAGCATAATTTACTTATTAATACTTAACAAACAGCTAGCCAAAATGTCATATGGCTAATAGCGTACACAGTAAACAACCAACTATTCCATATCTAAAATATTTTGTAATATGGACACTTAAAAATTAGTACACTGGTAATATTTTGTAGAACAATAACGAATAAATTGAAGTTAATTTCCCATACTCTTTGCTCTTGGAGTTCCATTTCAGGTTTCTAAGTGATAATACCAAGGTTCTGTTTTAGTAATAAAAAGCCCATTTTCCCTCGATGTTTCCAATTCTGTTTTTTTCAATGAAATACATTCCAATTACCTTCAAGAGCTGGAAAATTACTTCTCTAAAACAGCTTTATGAGAAAATCAGGCTGCTTGTTACAGAAGTCACAAATTTCCATTATATCTACAATATCTTCATTTTTAAGAAATATTATAAAAATAAAAGCTTCCCAAAGGAAGTAAGATGTAAACATATAAAACAATCTGCTTTCCAAGGCAAACACTTGCTGGATCACACCCTCCCTCTCCCCAACTTCATTATTACTTACTCGGACACGTGTGCTTGGTTCATTTGTATTTCCCATCATATCAGAAAAGCTTTGTTCGCACAAGTGCAATAACACCACTAGGTAGAGACCAGAGCTGATAAACTCATACTCGGCCTTCAACAGGGAAGCAAACAGGAGAAAGGAAAATACAGAGAATGAAAAATTAGTAGAATTCAGATTGATATTCACAGTACACTGATAAACTAGAGGAAATGTATTCATATCCAGTTCCTAATAAGGGATACGATGCCATTTATTAAGAAAAAAAAAGACTGTCCTTTATAATTTCACAAAATTTTACTTTTTATTCTCATAGTCTTCTTTAGTGTAATGACTATAAAAAAATGGAACTTTTAAATAATTTGATGGTGAAATGAATGGTTTTCTATAAAGCTCATAGATTTCATTATACAAACAGCTATAGCTATATATGTTTAGTTAAAAATTACATTTCATCTATAGCTAAGCCAATACACTACTATAACTAAAACCTATTGTGATAGCTCAAGTGTTTTTCTGTGTAATACAATGAACTTAAAGGCATAGTAAATAAAAGAATGAATTAATAAAGGTAAGAGAGTAACTAATCATTCACACAGAAATCTGTAGTTGGTAAAAACAACTCTTCGATTCCAAACTGTTCTGTTGTGTTAAACTAAAAGGAAGAAGCTGAGACAAAATTAACAGAGTTAAGTCAAGGTTCAGGATTGCTACCAGGGACACACTTCCAAGTTGCCTTGTGGAGCGTGCTCCAGAGAACAAAAGAAAGGCTCAAATTTTTAAAGAATAGACAAATCAGGAAAGGAGAATGACAAAAGTTGTTCACTCTCAATTCTCATTGGTTTACAGAAACAATGTTGGTTAGTGATTGGCTATACACTATTGTACTATAGAGTATATGACATTTATGGCTATTTGGTATTAGTTAGTCTAGAGCAGGCATCCCCAAACTTTTTACACAGGGGGCCAGTTCACTGTCTCTCAGACCGTTGGAGGGCCGCCACATACTATGCTCTCTCACTGACCACCAATGAAAGAGGTGCCCCTTCCTGAAGGGCGGCAGGAGGGCCGGATAAATGGCCTCAGGGGGCTGCATGCGGCCTGCGGGCCGTAGTTTGGGGACGCCTGGTCTAGAGCCTCCAAAGCAAGTGGCTTCAAGAGATATTCAAGGGAGAGTGAGATGAGAATGCTGTTACATGTTAAACACCTCGCTGGACCTGATAATTTTAAGGAGCTCATATTCCTCAGATTAAATGTTTCTCTCCCACACCGCCCCCCACCACGTTGTTTTTAAGCCATGAATACAAATCATGGATATAGTATTATTAAAAATCTAATCTGTCCTTTAATTTTTACACTGAACTACTCATAAACTGAATTGGGTAACTGGTTCATCGGAAGTAAAGAACTCTATGATCTTAGTACCACCTTCAGCAAGTAATTGGTTATCAGAGTCTACTGAGTATTCAAGAAATTTGACGCCAGGCATGGTGGCTCACACCTGTAATCCCAGCACTTTGGAAGGCTGAGGTGGGTGGACCACTTGAGGTCAGGAGTTCAAGACCAGTCTAGCCAACATGACAAAATCCCATCTCTACTAAAAATACAAAAATTAGCCATGGCAGGTGCCTGTAACCCCAGCTACTTGGGAGCCTTAGGCAGGAGAATCACTTGAACACGGAAGGCAGAGATGGTGCCACTGCACTTCAATCTGGGCGACAAGAACACACACACACACACACACACACACTCTGCTTCACTTAATAATTCCTTTTTAACTTACAAGGAAATAACATACCCACAAATTTTTAAAAAACTTTAAATGGGGCCAGGCGCAGTGGTTCACACCTGTAATCCCAGCACTTTGGAAGGCAGAGGCGGATGGATCACCTGAGTTAAGGAGTTCAAGATCAGCCTAGCCAACATGGTGAAACCCCATCTCTACTAAAAATACAAAAAATAAGCCAGGTGTGGAGGCAGGTGCCTGCAATCCCAGCTGAGGCAGGAGAATCACTTGAACCTAGGTGGCAGAGACTGTAGTGAGCTGAGATTGTGCCACTGCACTCCAGCCTGGGCAACAGAGTGAGGCACCATTTCAAAAAAAAAAAAAAAAAAACTTAAATGGTTATCACCTTGTAAAAGATCAAGACACTGGGTAATGAGGAAATAGATGCAATTATTCATACAGAACAAACAAGTTAAGACCACGAAGTTTAATCAAGGCTGTCATTGTTTTTAAAATGACTCCAACTGATATTTCCTAGTACTTCTAAAGAATATGAGTCATTAAAATGCTTAGAAAACAATAAAACCATTCCTGAGTTCACAAAGGACTGGCCGAGCCTGGTGGCTCATGCCTGTAATCCCAGCACTTGTGGGAGGCCAAGGTGGGCGGACCACAAGGTCAGGCGTTCTAGACCAGCCTGACCAATATGGTGAAACGCTGCCTCTACTAAAAATACAAAAATTAGCCAGGCATGGTGGTACATACCTATAATCCCAGCTAGTCAGGAGGCTGAGATCGCCCCACTCCACTCCAGCAGCCTAGGTGACAAGACTGAGACTTCATCACTTAAAAAAAAAAAAAAAAAGGGGGCCGGGCGTGGTGGCTCAAGCCTGTAATCCCAGCACTTTGGGAGGCTGAGGTGGGTGGATCACGAGGTCAAGAGATCGAGACCATCCTGGTCAACATGGTGAAACCCTGTCTCTACTAAAAATACAAAAAATTAGCTGGGCATGGTGGCACGTGCCTGTAATCCCAGCTACTCAGGAGGCTGAGGCAGGAGAATTGTCTGAACCCAGGAGGCGGAGGTTGCGG